ATAGCTACATAGTATTCCATTGTGCATACACCAGTTTCTTTATACAGTTATCTGTTTCTGGACACTAGGGTTGTTTCCAGATCTTGGCTACTGGGAAACAGTGCTGCAATGTATATTGAAGCACAAATATTTTGTCACAGCATAGTTTTTCGCCCCTTGGGGTAGATGTCCAGAAATGGAATTTCTGGGTCATGTGGGACTTCAGTTCTTAGTTTTCTTTTCCCAAAATTCATGCCAACACTAGCTGTTTTTGTTCTTTGTGCCAGTCTCACTGCTATGAGATGATCTCTTATTGATTTGATTTACATTTCCCTGATAATCAGTGATGCAGAGCATTTTTTTCATAACTATTGGTCTTGTATATTTCTTCTTTGAAGAAGTTTCTGTACATCTCTTCTCACCAATTTTTGATGAGATTGATCTTTTCTCTCTTTAAATTTTACAAGCGCTTTATAGATCTAGAGTATTAACCCTATATCAGATGAATGGTGGGAAAATAATATTCTTTTGCAATGCAAAACTTTCTTGATTTTATGTTGTCTAATTTGTTTATCTTTGTTTTCATTTTCTGGCCAGTGGCATTATATCATTGAAGATTGAGTCTAGAGTCAATGTCATGAAGGGTTCTACCTATGTTTTCCTCAATATAATCTATGGATCCAGAGACTACGCCAGGATCTGTGCATAGAAGTGCCTCATAGTGTTTCTCAAGGGATGATGCGGTTTCAGAGATTGAAGCTGGGCCTTCCATTTTCAAAGCATGCACCTGGCTCACTGAGCTTAATTTCTGACACATAGTTTAGAATTTTTTAATCCATTTTTATAAGAGGTGTTGAACTGATATTTTCTTTCCTTGTAATGTTATTGATATTCCATGAGTACTGGTTTCATAGGATGAACTTGGAGGTATTCTCTTCTCTTCAGTCTCATGGTTGTGCTATTCAGAGCTGCTATTGAGTATTTAATATCTCGTACAATGCTCTTCATTTCTTTCATTTCTGATTGCAAGGTTTTTTTCTTTCAAATTTTGACTTTCTTATGCTGAATACCTGTACCATTGTTTCTTTGAGCTCATTAAACATCCTTATCATGGTATCACTAAAGTAATTTTCAAGGATTTACAGAGCTTGTTGGTACTGTTTGTGTTTATTGTTTGTATATATTGTTTTTGCTCATATAACTTGGTGAACATCTATGTGTTTCACCTCCACTGGTTTTCTAGTGTTCTTGCTGTGTTTGGGATGAGTCTTTGTAGTCTGACCTACTTTTGACTCTCTGGAAGATGCTAAGAGGTTTGGCTGGAGGTTGCTCTCTTTCTTCTCTGCCTTGCCTTCACCAAATGGCATGAAGCGTAACTGTGAGCAGTGTTAATTTGTTGAGTAGATGTCATGCTACTCATGTACTTGATTTATTTTTATATTTATTTTTCATCTCTTTTGCTATTTTGGGTTTACCCAGCTTCTCTTGTTCCCCCTTTCCTTTCCTTTCCCTTCTCCCCTCCCCTTCTCTTTCTTCCTTTTCACTACTAGCTTAGGAAGGATGAATTCCATTGTACAATACCTTTCTAAATACTATATCCAATTCATTATGAATTACAAGTTTTGCAGTCCCTCCAAGTGGATCAGGCTCCCTCTTGACTACATGAATGTGGCATTTGATTTAGGTGTTTCCTCACAAGCATGCACTGCTGAGTAGTCTGAATACTCAGGTGGATCACTCAGAAGCTCTACAGATCTGTTCCTCTGTGTGGTTTTTTCCTCTCTGATACACTGTCTCTGAGTGGTACCAGAAATCATAAATTTTTTTCCTGGTAGAGTATGTACTTTTTTCTGTACTCCTCTAAGTATTGTTGAGCATTGCTGTGGGACATGGTTCAGTGGCCTGCAATCAGTTTGGTCTTTTTAGGTCTTACTTTGAGTTTTCGAAGGCAGGCCCAGTACATCATTCGGTGCAGGGCTGATTTTCCCCTGCCTCTGTATATCTGCTGCACTGTTGAACTTGATGGACTTTTCCACTCTGGCTAATGGAAAGAGGAACTGTGTGCAAGTTCTAAGGATCATTCTTTCAAATTATTTTGGGTGATGTCTTTTCCCTCTTTCTCAGCCTCAGGAATTTTTCTCCCATGCATTTACTGACCAGAACTGAGGGGACTTTTCTGCAGATGTCCAGGGTTCTCTCCCTTTGCAGCTTTCTCCCCTTTGGCCTTACTAACTTGAGCCATTTTCATATCCCAGAATTTCCATGTTAGGAAACCACAGAGATATTCCCATTTGTTGAGTTGCATCTTGGAAGTGGTTTTTTTTTTTCAGGCAACAAACTGGATCAATCTCAGTACTCATCCTGTTTATTTCCTGCCTCCCATGATATATCATTCTGCTTTTCTGATGAATGACCAATGTCTTGAAATTTTTAATTTAGTTTAATATAGTTCCCCTCACCATCTCCGGATGCAACAGTTATATATACCTAGGTCGAGAAATCAACATGATGAATGACCTGGCACCTGAGTTGCGCAGGAGGAAGAGAGCGGCTTGGAATGCCTTCAAAAACGTTGAAGAAATAACTAAAAGGACAAAGAACCTCCAGCTACGAGCACATCTCTTTGATTCCACTGTTCTTCCTGCATTAACATATGCCTCAGAGACCTGGACCCTACGAAAACAGGATGAGAACGCTATTCAGGTCTCTCAAAGAGGAATCGAAAGAGCTATGCTTGGAATATCACGATTCACTCAAATGAGAGATAGAATTCGGAGTTCTGCGATAGCACAGCGGTAGGGCATTTGCCTTGCACGCAGCCAACGTGGCCGATCCGAGTTCGATTCCTCCACCCCTCTCGGAGAGCCCGGCAAGCTGCCAAGAGTATCTCGCCTGCACGGCAGAGCCTGGCAAGCTCCCCGTGACGTATTCCATATGCCAAACACAGTAACAACAAAGTCTCCAATGGAGACGTTACTGGGCCCGCTCGATCTTTGTCAACGCTCAAGAATCAGGGACGCTGTCTCATTTGCCAAGACATCAAAAATCAGATGGGCTGGACACGTATGAGGTTTACAGACAACCGCTGGACTAGAGCCATTACTGATTGGATTCCACGGGACATCAAAAGATCACGTGGACGCCCACCAACAAGATGGTCAGACTTCTTCGTCAAGACCCTGAATGATCGGTTTGAGGCTCTGCATGTTCCTAGAACGAACAGATACCATTGGGCTACGCTAGCACGCAACCTGGATGAATGGAGACATTACTGGCACCCGCTCGAGTAAATCGATGAATAATGGGGATTAAGTGATTAAGTGATTAAGTGATAGTTCCCCTCGCTGGAGCGATAGCACAGTGAGTAGGGCGTTTGCCTTGCACGCAGCCAACATGGCCGACCAGAGTTCGATTCCTCTGCCCCTCTCGGAGAGTCCAGCAAACCACCGAGAGTATCTTGCCCCCACGGCAAAGCCTGGCAAGCTACCCGTGATGTATTCGATATGCCAAACACAGTAACAACAAGTCTTATGATGGAGACGTTACTGGTCCTGCTCAAGCAAACCGATGATGAACAACGGGAGAACCGTGACCGTGCTAGTAAATTGGATACCTTCATTTCATTCTGTCTGTCTAATCAGAAAATTTAAGTCTCCACAGCTCATTTTTGAAGACTAAGAACAGTTTTGTGATTGCTGACATAGGCCCTAAAAAGTTAAACCTATAAACTTGTTCAAATCAAAAACTTCAAAATAAACTTGAATCCCAGTCACTACGTCCAGGGATAGTTATTCCTTTAACAAATATTTGATCAGTTAGTATGTAGTCCACATACACATTAAAGCTCGAATTTTTTTTGCTATGAATCAGACAAAATCTTTGTCTTCCTAGAGCTTATAGTCTAGAGAAAATACTTTGTTAAAATATTAACGCAATGTATTTGCTAATTTGTCAGTGTCTTTTTGCAGAAAGCTCCACACAAAATAAGTGGTATGAAAATTCTAAAAAATAGTGAATGATAAATTTAGACTGCTTTCATCTCCAAATGTCAAGAACTTAGTAGTAGCCCTAAACCAAAACACTTGTATTGCATCTGTAAACAATCACTAATCAACTGGAACATAGCTTCAGGAGGCATGAGTCCCGCCTATGTATCCTGAGTGCTTAAAGCAGTGTCTGGGTTACAGAAGGTGCTGAATATACTCGTGATGTAAACATTCCAGCTTACTTGTCCCCAAATACCTCATCTTGGTTCCGTCGGGAGCGTTGCTGATCGGGAACAGCTAGCCTGCACCATGGGGCTCGAAAAGGCTTAAGTGCAACACATCAGGGGGAGATGGAATTGTAATATGAAGCTGCCCGCCCGTCCTCCATTGTCAGTTCTTGGAAATTTATGACGGACAGGTGAGAGCTAATGCATTCCCCGTCTGCTTTTTGGTTCGGGTCCTGCCGTTTGAATAGGGTTGGTCCAAGTCCCTTGCTTTGATTTCCCGAGCTGAGGACGGGCGGGGGAACTGAGGGGCATCCCGTTAAGATCTGACTTTCGAGTTGGGCGAGAGGCGAGTGGGGAGCCAGCGAGCGCGTGCGCTCCCCGACCGAACCGTGGGAAAGGAGACGTGCACACGACAGATGGGGAAACTCGCGTGTCTGGGGGGGTCGGAGACTCAAGCGCGCGGGGGGCGGGGGCCGCTCCCGGGGAAGTGGCTGCCGTCCAGCCACGCCGCGAATCAGCAGGACCCGAAGGCTGGGCGGCCGACGTGGGCCGGCGCCCGCGGCACACCCCGCGGCGGCGCCCCGGGCCGGCACGTGCAGGGAGCGGCGCGCGCGGGCGGAGCGGCGGGGCGGGGGCGCGGCCCGGCCGCCACGTGACGCGCGCGCGGGTATTAAGCGGCGCGGCTGCCGCTCCCCGCCGAGCTGCCGCTTCGCCCGCGACTCCGCAGCGCCTGGGCTTCGCCGCCCCGACCGACCGAGAGGAGCCCGCGCGGGTCAGCCCGAGCCCCGTCCGCAGCCACCGCCGCCGCCGCCGCGTCCCCGCCCGCCCGTCCGAGCCCTGAGCGCCCCCCGCCGCATCCCACCCACCCCGAGCACCATGAATCAGATCGAGCCCGGCGTGCAGTACAACTACGTGTACGACGATGACGAGTACATGATCCAGGAGGAGGAATGGGACCGCGACCTGCTCCTCGACCCCGCCTGGGAGAAGCAGCAGAGGAAGGTCAGCAGGGGCCGCCGCGCCCGCCTGTCTGTGTGTCGCACCCACCCACCCACCTCCCTCGGGGGGCATCGCCCACCCCGCGCTCTACAGATGCTCGGGGCCGGGCACCCGAGGAAGGTGTTCTCCCAGCCCCGGGGAGGCAGGAGAGCACGTCCAGGGCCAGACTCCACTCCGATGTGTGTGTGTGTGTGTGTGTGTGTGTGTGTGTGTGTGTGTAGGGCCAGACTCCACTCCGATGTGTGTGTGTGTGTGTGTGTGTGTGTGTGTGTGTGCGCGCGCGTGCGTTTGCAAGCGCGCAAATAATTCAAATAACCAAATGTTCATGGGTAGCAGCAGTGCCGTGGACGCGTGTTTCCGTATCACCTGCACTGGTCCAGAAACTAAAAGAGCCTCGGGGCAGTGCCTCCCCTCTGGAGTCTGTGACCTTGCCCCCCCACCCAAAGTTCGACTCTCGGTGGGCCCCAAATCCATAATTGTGTCTTCTGCCTGAGCCCACTTCTAACATCCGATGAAATGGAGATCGAATGCATTCCGAGTTTTCCGAGGGTTTCTCCCAAAGAATAACTGAAAATCGTGTGTTCCAGGCGTTGGACTCTTACTTAGAGAGGGAGGCTGGGTGAACACTAGACATTCACTGATAAAGTAATCATTATTTCACACTCTATTTATAGTTCACTGAGGTAAGCACCCAGGAGCAAGGGAGTCAACCGTCCCCAAAGCTTCCCCACCCGCTTTGCTTGTTGCTCTCTGGGGGCCCATTGGACTGTCCCACATTTTCAATTTTTTTTTCTTCTTGATCTTCTTGGCCAGAGTCAGTGAGGAGTGCTCACCCACAGGCTAAATCTTGCCTCTTGTTGGATTGTGCACGTACTATGAGCAGTCTGGCACACCAGCCCAGACCTGCTAACCCAACCTAATGATAGGGTCATGGCAAAAGCCAAGTGGCCTGTGATTCCCCCGCCACCCGCCCTTTCCATTTTTCAGGGGGTGGAGCAAAGTGGATTTCCCTTCTAAGGGCTTGCTTTAAGTGGATAATCTCTGTTGACCATATGTGTGCATAGGGCACATATGTGCTCCTTAGCACTTGGTGAATAAGCATATAAAAAAAAGCATATAAGCACTTGGTGATAAACATATAAAATATGTTTATCTCACATTTTCAACAGTCTTTGCTGGAAGGAGAGAGGTCCCATCTTTGGATCAGTATCAGATAGCAAGGCACTCATTGTATTATGATTTCTCTTGGTCTCTCTATCCTTTTTTTTTTTTTTTTAAAAAAAACCACTTAACTGTAATTATTTCAAGACTCTCAGTTATCTGTTTCATTCTCTGCCTTCATTTCCTAAGACCTTTACTCATCCATACTGCCCTGAAGAGTGTTAGAAGTTGAATGTAAAGGAAAACAGAATTTTGAGAACTACAGGGTTTATTTTTTTTTCATGCTGTGAGGGAAACATGGAGCTTGGTGATTATTAATGTTGTGTCTAGACTAGAACTATCATCAGTGAGCAAGAAGTCGAATCTTTTTTTGTCAGTGAGCATTTTTTTCTCTATTTTCCCCACAATTTTAAGGATTAAAAATGAAACAAAAAGTCCTAAGCCTTTAAAGTTTACTTTTTTTTTCTTGATGAGGATTATTAGAAACTTCTTTTTCCTTCTTTTTTTTGTACAACCAGTGTAATACATGTAGTCTATCACGAGTCACAGTCTCTAACATGCCCCCATTTTTGGGGGTGGCACTCTCCCAGACCCTTATCAGTAGGCATGGGCTTAGGGGTGTGGGGTTGTACCAGCAGTGGTCTGAGGACAAAATTCGAATCTGGGTCTGCTACTTGGTAGACATCCGAACTACTGCACTATCTCCTTGCCCCCACCATTATTTAAAAAGTGAGAATCTAGGGGCCAGAGAGATAGTATAGCATATAAAGCACTTATGTGACTGACCCAGATTCGATTCCTGGCATCCAATATGGTTCCACGTGCACCACCAGGATTGGTTCCCTAGTCTGGAGCCAGCATTAACCAATGAGCATTGCCAGGTGTTGCCCCAAAACCAAAATAAATAAATAAATTTTAAAGTCTTTTCAGTGGTTTCTGTTGTTTTTAAACGAACAGGCTAGATCTAATGTCAGTATGTCAAGGACACTTTGACATCTTTTTCATATTTAGTTTTTTTTTATATGTTCACAAATTTAAAAAAAAATAATTAGACTGGAGTGATAGTACAGTGGGGTTTTCCCAATTTCACTGCCCGACATCTCATCAGGAGTGATCTCTGAGTGCAGAGCCAGGAATAAGACCTGAGAACTGCTAGGTGTGGGCCTTCAGAATAAATTGTATTTTTTTTTAAGGTTTGGAATTCCTGTGTAAATATATCGTTGTAACTGTGTGACGTATGTAGATATTTTGTAAAGCCTGTGTAACACTTTAAGTGCATTATTGAAATACAAGATATATTTTCTGACTCTAGTCTGGAACTGTGCCAAAAGTTTAAAGTGAATATTCACTTTTTGTCTTAAGATAGGTTGGGTATCATCTGCACTGTGGGAAAGAAGGAAACAAAGTACTCCATGAGAGTATAGACCAGGAGAAACGCTATTTCTACTTTGGGTATAGAACCTACTCAGATCAGTAAGAAGTACTGAACTGTGTACTCCATGTCGCCAGAGCCGAGGCCTCTATTTATGTCCGATGAGACAAACTGCTGGAACAGGCTAAGGGTAAAATGCCATTGTTTCTATTGTGGGCTACCTTCTCCACACTTGCCATTTTGGTGATATGCTGGGTATGAGATCTGTCAACAGATGCCAGTCACCCATGATGACGTCTGTAGCGTTATAATGAATGTAGTGCCTAATATATCCTTGGTGCAGAGAGCGTTCTGAGAGTGTCAGGGCCTGTGGTAATCCCTGCACTGTTGCGTAGAATTCCTTTCTACAGAAGGACTTAGTAAAAGTCTAATGTTATTTCTTTTTCCTTTTTGGTGGGAGGTTGGTTTGTTGTGAAGAGACACATTGTGGTAGAAGGTATATAACATAACATGGGCCATATTCGTCATCTTGAAGTGTGCAGTTTAGTGGTGGTAAATGCAGTCATTGTTGAGCAGTTAATCTCCACAACTCTTCAGCTTTCAAACTTCAACTCTATGTGCTCATTGGACAATAACTTCCCATTTCCCCTACCCCCGCCTCTGGCAGCCACTCTGTGTATCGATGAATTTGACTTCTCTGAGTGCATAAGTGACATCTTGCAGTGTTTATCCTTTTGTGAGTAGTTTATTTCAGGTTTTATTTATTATTTTAGATTTATCCGTGTTATAGCATGTACTAGAAATCCTTTTTTAAAAAAAAAAATTTGAACCATATCTGGCAGTTCTCAGAGGCTGCTCCCAGCTCTATAGTTGGGGCTGCTCCTGACGGTGCTTGGGAGACCAAAATTTCCGTCCTTTTACAGGGTAAATAATATTCCAGTTGAGTGTACATGCCACATTTTGTTTATCCACTCATTGGAAGATGGACGCTAAGTTGCTTCTGGCTTTTCACTGTGTGAATAATGAGGAGGAAAAGAGTCCCCTGCCCACATTTCAAATAGGCTCACTTCAAGCAGGCTAACACCAGAGACTGCAGGACCTGCCAAAGGGCAGCCGAGTGACCTGATATAACCAAGCAGTTCATTTAGGATGGCCTTGAGATGGTCAGAGTCTCACTTTGTAACTTTGGTAACCTGGAAACATAGGCCAAATGAGCTTATGTCCTTGAGGTATTCCAAATCCTGCTTTGCAAAATAACCTGCTTTGGAACTTCTGCTTCTTTTCTCTCCTGCCAGCTGTCTGCAAATGCCCCAACATCTATCAGATATTCTGTAAAATGGAGCTTTTGCCTCCATGCTGGAACATAAACTCACCTGTTCGCTATCATGATATAACTTTGATTTCCCACTTCTCAAGGCATGCTGCTTGTTTTTTCTCTGACTCTTGGTGGGAATTTCTGCAACAAATCATCTGCTATAAACATGGGTTGATAACATAGGATTATTACACACTAATGCTATATGTATATCCTCAATATCTCTTTGTGACCCTACTTTCCCAGTAATGACTTTTATACCCAGAAGTGAACCTTCTAGATCATGTAGTAAGTAGTTTCCATTTTAAAATAAGTGTAGCATTTTCTCCAGCAGTTGGGGCAATTAAAAAGATGTTGAATTTAGCATGAGCATGTGAGGTGTTTCAGAGTACTCACCTTGGGGGTGGAGGGGGGAGTGGGCTGTGTGAACAGAGATGGGGGTTTTTATATCCCCATAACTTAGGTTTTTTTGAAAGGGTCTGTAGACATTCCTAGAGTGTCTCTGCGTAGAAGAATGAAAGAACACATCCAGCCTTTAATTCAACAGAAGCCTAATCAGAAGGTGACTTGTCAGCCCAGCAATGCGGGCTATGTGCCTGTCCCCATAAGCACGCAGTGCTGTCCTTCACCCTCTGTGGGGCTAGATCAGACCTTTTAAGGAAACAGCAGCGTTTTGCTACTTAAAGAGTCCTTAGGTCACTGATCTGTGGCTGGCTGGCTGATCAAACACTTTTCTATCAGTTGTGGAGATTGTAAAACAGTTCTTCATTTATTCCACATTCAGAGTCCTTAATGATTTTCAGTAGTTCCTAAAGAAATACAAATTCTGGATTTTGATCAGTGTTTCCCAAAGGGGGTGAACCGGTGTCCTGGTGGTTGCTGGAATCATGGGGGTGTGATACTACCCTCAGAGGCAGTTGGTGGAGGGGGAGTGCTTTCCGATTGCTTGCTGAAAGGAGTAGACTTGGGGCAGGAGACATAGTACAACGGATGGATGCTTGCCTTGCAAAATGCTGACTCTTTTTTTTTTCTGCAAAGGGGGTGATGGACCAAATAAATTCGGGAACCTCTGCGTTACATGGGCCATTTTTCCCCCATTCACCTCAAGGTACCTCCTGTTGTTTTTGTCATCCAGGCAAAACTGTTGCCATATCA